CCAGTATCATGATGCCCCTGTATAAATCAATGGTGCGGCCTCATTTGGAATATTGTGTACAGTTCCTGGTCACTGTACCTCAAAAGAGATATTATAGCATTGGGGAAAGGTGCAGAAAAGGGCAACTAAAATGATTAAGGGGATGGAACGCCTTAAGAAAAGTTAAAGAGGATAGGGCTCTTTAGCTTGGAGAAATGTGCATAGTATAGAGAAGGCAGAGAAACTTTCCCCCCTTTTCACAATACAAGAACTCCTGGGCACTGAATGAAATTAATGAGCAGTAGGCTTTGAACTAATTAATGAAGTAGGCTTCCGGCGGAAGACCGGAAGGCCTGGTGCGATCTGGTCCATGGGGTCGCGAAGAGTCGGACTCGACTGTGCAACTGAACAACAAAAAGGCTTTGAACAGATAAAAAGAAGTCCTTCTTCGCCCAAAGAGTGATTAAGACATGGAATTCACTGCCACAGGAGGTGGCGGCGGCTACAAGCATGGATGGCTTCAAGAGGGAATGAGATAAGCATATGGAGCAGAGGTCCATCGGTGGCTGTTAGCCACAAGGTATAGATGGAACACTGTATGTCTGGGGCAGTGATGCTCTGTGTTCTTCGGGGGCCACAGTGGGAGGGCTTCCGGAGTTCTGGCCCCGCTGGTGGACTTCCTGATGGCTCCTGGGTTTTAGCCACTGTGTGACACAGAGTGCTGGACTGGAAGGGCCATTGGCCTGATCCAACATTGGCTTCTCTGATGTTCTTAAGATCAGCTTAATACCAGCCACTGTATTTTTTTGGCATTAAGAGCTTACGCGTTTTGCCATTTTTTAACCTTCCTTCTACACGTTCGACTGCAACTCCTCTTTCTGTCAACGCCTCAGTGACTGGCACACAGCTGTTCCTGCTCCTTGCCTCCTCCTATTTAAATTCAGTCTGTCAACCATAATCTTGTTTGGGGGGAGCTCAGCTATGGGGAGGTAACGGGGAAAGGAAGGAAGGAAACCACATGTGGGGAAGAGTGTTAGAAACAGATATACAGGGCTGGGGGGGGGCTTGGGGACTTCAGGAGGAAAGACAGGAAAGGCAGTGCGTCATTTCCTGCAGGAGCTCCGGCAGTAAGAAGCCCAGGGGGCGGGAACATGCAACAAACCCGACCCCCTTCTCCCAGAAGCCCTCAGTCAGAGCAAGAAGCAGCCAGGTAAGTTGCAGAGCCACCCCCCTCCAAAACAGTCCAGTGGCACCTTTAAGACCAGGTTTTATTCAGGTACAAGCTCTTCCTCCTCTGCGAGGGCAGATCTGCACGTTCCCCCCCCCCCCAATAGCTAGCAATCCAAAAGAGTCCAGTGGAGCCTGAGCGGTGGGCGTTGCCTTCTGACACGCTTCCGGTGATGTCAGGGGGTGTGGCATGTGCAAATAAGTTATGCTAATGAGTTATGCTAATGAGCCCCTGCACCTCTTTTTCTACGAAATGACCCCTGAGGAAAGGTATGTAACCTCTTAATCTGCGACCAATTTGAACAATGTTTGAATTAAGATTGCTGGGAAAACATCAACAACTTCAGATGTGCAGATGATACCACTCTAATGGTATGCGGATGAGATGGTTGGACAGTGCTATCGAGGCAACGAACATGAAATTAAGCAAACTCCGGAGCACGACGGAAGACAGGAGGGCCTGGCGTGATGTGGTCCATGGGGTCGCGAAGAGTCGGACTCAACTGTGCGACTGAACAACAACAACAATCTGCTACGCCTCTCTGATTGACCAAACTGTTTCCTCCAGGCCAATCATTTGTGGAACTTTAGCCCCTTCAGCCTCCTTGGAATCCCGGGTAAAGTTACGTCTTTCTAAATCCACTGAAGTCAGTGGGCTTAGAAGGGTGTAAAACTGCCCGGATTGCACTGTCAAGCCTTTAACATTTTACTAGCCAGCCACAACGGCATTCTTATTCAAGGGGTAGTTTTCTTTCCTGCTTGCAAAGAAAGCCCCTCTACAGATTTATGCACTTCAACATTTGTTCCTCGGTCTCCCACCTCTTCACGACTCTCCTATTTTCTGAGCCACTGTCCTAACCCTCTACAATTCCCCCAAGAAAGAAAGGAAAAAACCACAGTCTTTGCTCAGTCGTTATGGTAACTCATCAAATTTCTTTGCGGTTGCTGAATAAAGAGTCCTCCTTATTACTGCTGCTTTGAAGATTACTCTTTTAGATATATTAGCTTCCAGCATAGGAGATTCTGAATGACCAAAAAGCAAATGAAATTATATTTGCCTCCTCCCCCCCCCAATGATGCAGGGATTTTGTTTTTCCCCTCCCCTGTAGGGCTCTCTCCTTTTCCAGGGTTTAATTCAACGGCCTCTGCCTTGCTCACCAACACCTTGTAGACAGAAACCTATTTCCCATCAAGAAAAGACCTATGAACTCAGAAAGATTAAAAACTACAGATATCAGAAGGAGTAAAAAGAAATGAATATTGTATTCCTATCCTAATTTAGCTTCCAGAAAGCTTTTGATAAAGTTCCTCATCAAAGGCTCCTAAGTAAGCTCAATATTCATGGGATAAAAGGACAAGTCCTCTTGTGGACCAAAAACTGACTGATCGATAGGAAACAGAGAGTGAATATAAATGGGCAATTTTCTCAGTGGAAGGTGGTAAGCAGTGGGGTACTGCAGGAATCAGTACTGGTCCCGATGCTTTTTAACTTGTTCATTAATGATTTGGAGTTGGGAGTCAGCAGTGAAGTGGTTACATTTGCGGATGATACGAAGTTGTTCAGGGTGGTGAGAACTAGGGAGGATTGTGAGGGACTCCAAAAAGATCTGTCGAGGATGGGTTCGTGGGCGACAACGGGGCAAACAAAAACAGCATTCAATATATGAGCACTTTTAAATATTAATGTATTTAATATGTTCACATTGTTTAATAGTCTCCTATACAGTCTGAGAGCCCAACAGCCAATTCCTTGAATAACTGAACTGTTAAAAATAAATCAGAAGTAAACTACAGTTCAGACAGTATGGAGCAAGAGTCTGACTCTATATAAAGCAGGTTTACACTTATGCTAAAGTCCCGAGAACGGAGCTGCGGTGGCTCAAGTGGTTAAGAGACTGAACTGCAGGCTGTGGAAGGTCGGTCGTTCAGCAGTTCGAGACCCGAGTTGCCGCATGAGGGAGTGAGCTCCCGTCTCTGGCCCCAGCTTCCTGCCAACCTAGCAGTTCGAAAGCAAGAAATTGCAAGTAGATAAATAGGTACCACTTCGGTGGGAAGGGAACAGCGTTCCGTGCGCCTTGGTGTTTAGCCATGCCGGCCACATGACCACGGAAACGTCTTCGGATGGCGCTGGCTCTTTGGCTTGGAAATTGAAATGAGCACCGCATCCCTAGAGTCGGATTCGACTGGCTTTTGAGCAAGGGAACCTTTACCTTTACCTAAAGTCCTGAGAATCAGCACTCGGATCGGAATTGATTGGACATTAGGTAGACTGTAGTTAACTAAAGGTATGTAGCAAAAGAGCCTCTCCCTGGTCCTGAAAAAGCATCTCCCGCTTGTCTGTTGTTAGAAATGCCCAAACTCCTGGAGGTTCAAGACCATCTCACAGTCACCATTACAAATATCTCAGTTGATCAATGATCAGATTGAATGTTCGCTGAGCGATTCATTGGATTTCACCAGGCAGCTGCATACCCAGCTCAACAGCATGCATGCACGATTGGCCTCTGAGCACGTATGCTGCACGGCACATGTGCAGTTCTGCAAAGGATCGTGGGAACTGTATTTCCCCCCCATGTCAGTAGTTAGCAATAGCATCTTTATCACCATCACCAGTCACTCATACCATGTGTAACTCACATATGCCTTTAGACTAGTTGTTGCACTTGTATTGCATTGGTTTGTACTCGAATACAATAACAATGTATGTACGCATTGCAATAGGGAACTGCACAAGCTACAAAGGCAAAACAAATCACCAAGCAGGCCAAATAGACTCAAAGAAAAGGAACTAGACAAAGTAGTACAATTAACGAAAACAAATACATTGTACAACAAACACTGAACTTGCCCCCCTCCCTTTTGGGAACCACACCTCCCACAGACAATACCGCAGTGAATTTTGGGAAAAAAATAATCTTTTTTTTTTAATAAACACATCTATGATTAGGATGGGGGAAATTTACCATCCTCCTTATGGCCCCCAAGGGCCCAGACAAACCGCTAAGGAGTCACCACAGGTGGGGATAGAATTTATAAGTATAACAGGAGAATTGCTATGCAAGGCATGAAGACCACCAGATTGTTTCAGAGTACACCACACCACTATACTCAAGTTAAATGGGGCGTAAGGGAATGGCTTCTGGGTAAGCTCTGCTATTAAGGCCCAAGTGCAGGGCTTTAGCATGTAACTCTATGGTGACAGTGACCATTTCATCTTTTTGACAATGAATAGCTGGAAAGGAATAGAACAAAAACAGCCCACCATCCTGCCTCGTCAGTCCCACTGGATACAGCAAAATAAATAAATACATAAATAAAAATCCACTTCTGGTTCAGTGCACACCTGAACTTAGATACCCACATGGTACTTCAGTACTTCACTCCACATACTCCACCTTCCAGGTCCAGAATTACCTGGTTCACCAGTTCACAGGGTCCATCTGTTATTAATGCTAAGAGATCAACCTAATACTACACATCGTAAGAAACAACAGCAACAACAAAATAACGAATGAGCAGTGAACCAGTTCATGAGGAGTTTGGGATGTTTGCTGTCCCAGCAACCTAATTCTGGGATTGGCTCACCATGACTGTTCCCAGTGAATATGGTAAGCTGCCAAGCTCATTTACGGCAAAGCTCACAGCATTCCTATCCATTATGTTACTCATGGGGGAAATAGGACATGGTAGAGGCAAATTCTGATGGAGTTGGATCTCTACATCATTACGATTTGTGCTGCTGCCTCAGCACAGATACATCAGATGGTTCTCACTTTGGACCAAGGGACTCTTACCTGTAGGACGATTGCTGGCACGGAGAAAATCATGGCTTCATTAAATACAGGATTTGTGTCATCTCTTTTTGTCGCAGTCTTCTTCTTGCTGATCTTCCTCCCGTCTTGCAGCAAGTACACTTTCACAAAAGGATCTGATTGGATGGCAAGAAGAAGATCATCTTAACTGGGTCATTGTTTCAGGAAAACTGACTTCTGTATGCAGACTATCTTTGAAGCTCTGAAGTACCCCAGTTTGGATATGGCTAATGTACCACTGCACATCTGGAAGCGGCACACACCCTGCCAGTTAGGACTATGTAAACAGGGGTGTGGTGCGCTTTAGAACTATCTGGTAAAATGATATTTAAGACTTTTTTTAGCTATCTCTTTAAACCACCACTCCACCTTCAGCCTGTGGGATAACAAATCTACATATCTAAATAAATAATAGATGCTCTCTCTTATAACAACCAAGAGAAATCCACTTAATTGAAATGGGAAACTAACTGATCACTTCTTAGCCTCTTCAAAGAGAATCACCTCCTGCCCAAACGGGATGCTTGACACTGGGTGTGATCATACGAACCGTAAGCGGCGGCATACACACGATTCCAGCACGGAGCAAAGCGGCACGATCAGACGGGAACATCTGCCCAGTGTCCCGTAGTCATCGGCGTGCCGTTCCGTAGCGCCGCAGGAGCGTAGTAAAAAGCCACCGCAAAAAGTCCACTAGCATCTGGAAACCGCGGGGCACGTGTGGGCATATGATCGCACAAACGTGCTTCATTTCGGCCCGGGGTAAACAGCCTCGCTTCCCCCCCAGATTATATTGTGCGTGTGACCACAGCCACCCTCTAGAACATTTAATGACTGCCCCTGCGGTGATGACTCTCTGGAGAGGCTCTGAGAAGGCAGAACTAAAACAGGAGGTAGAACAAAGTTTGAGACCAGTGGCACCTTTAAGGCCAACAACGTTTTATTCAAGGTATAAGCTTTTGTGTGCAAGCACACTTCTTCAGATACAGACCAATTTCACACAAGAGCTGCGCCGCGGTCGAGCCTCCCTTTGCCCCGCTTCTATTGATCAATTTCCCACTTGAAGCGGCGCGGTCGCATTTTGACCTTTTCCTGATTTCCCCCACGGTTTCGTGATCCTCAAAAAACAGGATCACAAAACCGCGGGGGAAATCGGGCGAAGCCGCGGATCAAAATGCAGCCGCGACCGCGGCACAGCTCTTGTATGAAATCGGTCACAGTGAAACAGAATTTCCTTGATCATTACATATAGAAAGAGCGAGGGTGTGTGGGGGTTTGGTTGCCAAGTGTCAATTAGAGTCAAGACAGAGACAGAAACAAAATTGGAAATTACCAGTCCATACATATAGGAAGAGGGTGAGCAGTAAAGGATCTAAAATAGGAGGTGAAATGGTTTTCTCTTTTCCAGATGCAGTGATTTCCATCTTTCACTAGCAGTATAAGAAGGTGTAAAGTCAGTGTAAAAACCAGTAGCTGTACAGTTTACTAGTGTTAATGACTAAATCCAATAATTTTTCCCAATGTGTTTCCCATTATCACTCTTTTAAAAAACAAGTATTTTATTGTGTATGATTTGGAAATTAGGCCGTTCATTAGTTCATTGGCCCCTCAGACTGAGAGTAATTCTGCTGTTCTAATATCTCACTAGTAGACTGGAGAAAACAGGCGACATTAGAGGTTATGAGAAAGTTGTGTCCAGAAAATAACTGCTGAACAACAGGCGACATTAGAGGTTATGAGAACATTATGTCCAGAAAGTAACCAGTGAACCTGGACACTGTCAGGGAGGCCACACCCTGTACAGAGAAGGGAGTTCAGAAATTTTTCTCGAATCTTAATGTATAATGGACAATTTAATATAACATGGGAAATGGATTTAATAGAACATGGGAAATAGAACAATTTAATAGAACATGGGAAACGGCTACAGGGGCATCGTCTAAATGCATAGGGGATTCGATGCAGGGAAGCTATTAACTGATCTATTTCATTTTGGTTGGCCTTACAATTGCTTTGTTACCTCGATATGTTATTTTAAATTTTAATGTACTTTTTTTATCTTTGACATGCCAATAACAGTTGTCTGTCTGTCTGTCTCACTAGTAGCATATAGTACTCACTAGTAACCAGGAATTACACCATGAACCAGAAACTCTTCCTTAATGGCTACTCCTTGTCTAGGCTACAATAAGGGAGAAAATGACAAAGCACTCCTCAAAGCACTCCTCAAAGCACTCCTCATGTGTTACTTCAGCTGCAATCAATTCCAAATCAATAGCTTTCTTCACATTTTAAACATTAAATCATTGTAGTAAAACAGAATAAATGTAAGAATAATCCAGTGATTTACTGAGAAAGACTTGGTTATGAATAACCATTTGCACATAAAGGTACTACATGATTTTTCTGAATTCTCAGCTAAGAGATAAAGTCCAGCCATTCAAAAGTACTATTACTGGACTGCATCCTCTTAATGTATGTTCTGCTAGAAACCGTTGATAAGACATCAGCTTAACAAGAGGCATTATTTCCTATACTTACTGTAACCATTCTTATTTTAATGGCGATTTCAAATTTTTCACTGTCTACCAAAGGTCAGTCTAGTAACTTCTATTACATTCCAAATGAACTATTGTATTTTTTCTGGTACTGCATACTTTAACAAGTATACCAAAGGGTCTAGTAACAATTTGTACACCAAACATTTTGGACACTATCTTAATTACAGTCTTTCAAAATGTGCAAGCTTTGGTACACCTGTGTACAGTAAACGGGAAACAAATCCAGTTTGGGCACCAACAGTGCCGTTGTCTTTTAGTAATGTACAAAGATGGACAAAGTAATCGTTTACAAAATATTAGAGACTGGATCCAAACGTCCTTTTCTGCCAACAAGAGTCACTTCCACCAGTGGAAGGGGTGATTTCTGCCAATTTCCCCCTCCCTACTGCAGCCTGCTAGACCCTCCAAAATGCTGTTCCTGGGGAGACAGAGGATACCTCAAGACAAGCATGGGGGATATGAAGGCTTGCAGTAGGAGGAGTGAATCAGCAAGAATAGCCCACCTCTGCTGGCAGAAAACAACCTTAGGGCTCAACCATAAGGCCACAGACTAGCAGCTACTAAAAAGATATAATGCCCAGACAAAATGCTACTTTGCACGAGTGTGTTAAATGCTATTTAGCTCAGACTGGAAGAGGCTCTGTCTTGGGAACTGAAATGCAGGGATGCTCATCATGAGGAGTCTGTGCACAGCAATGCATGTAAAATGATAAAACAAGCATTTCTAATCTACCCACTGAAATTTAAGGTGGCATTCTCAGTATCTAACCAGCCACAGCTGCATTGCAGGGGTTGGGGTGCACGGGTACATTTCAAGACTCATTACTGACCTGCAGTCATTTTGCCGTTGGTCCATACCAGATTCTTGGCCTTAACCACAACAACCGTTAGTCGCTCTGCTGTTGGTAGATAGCTAAGCGAAAGCAAGATTTCACCCACTGAATCGGTTGCCTACAGGGAAACGGAAGGAACCATTCATTTCTCATTACTGCACTACTCTTGCAATAGGTATATTGCTATGCATTTACTTTATTCAGTATAAGAGTTACTATTTATAAGCCGCAGTCAAAGTCTTACAGTGCAATTCTAAACCAAACTACACTCTTCTAAGTCTGCTAATCATTGCTGACTCTGAGCCATGGCTACCAGTTTTTGTCCAGCAAGAACAATAACCCAAAGTCAGCTCCTGTGGTCCCGAGTTAACAAGATCTTCTCCAGCAGGGTCCTCATTTCCTCCTTATTCTCCCATCCATGAGGTCAAACCCCACATTTCCCAACACAATAGTTACTACTATCCTAGTACCATGTGCTTGACCTTTATGGAAAAGGGATAATGGGAAATAAATGCAGGAAGTGCATTTGGTGAAAGAAACTGTTATGTATTCACTGTATGAAATGTAATGTTAAGCTCGAGACCTTAGCCAGGATTCTAAGCTGGAACAACCCTATTGGCTAATGTATAGTTGTAACCAATCAGAAGCCAGAGAACTGTACTGCAGGGAACAGACCTGATTGGTTGTTATCCGTACAATGCTATTGGTCCTCAACTATTCTAGGGCGTGGCTACATCAGCCCGGGATAGTTTAAGGGAGCTATGCTCCACTGTTGTTTTTTTTATTATAATTTTTTTATTTTCTTAACAAAATATATAAACAACCAAAACTAAAACAAGTAACAATAACAATAATACAATGAACAATGTTGTTTTATAGTTATATACTGTACACACATTTTTATAATATAATCTGTTTCGTCATAAAATTAAATCTATAATAATACAATTTTTTACACTGACCACTCTTTCTGACTAAAAGAATAATATTGAGATTTCTGACTAGGTTTAATCTGTTCGAAAATATTTTCTAAATTTTCCAATATTGGGTACCATTGACCATAAAAAGCCTGTGATCTTGTTACATCTTCAGCGCTGGTAAGTCTGTCAGAAATCTTGTCCATAAGGATATGTCCCCACACCTTTGAATACCATGACTTAATATTTAATAAATTATTATCTTTCCAACTTTGTGCAATAGTTGTTTTGGCCGCCGATAAAAGAATACTAAATAATTCTTTTGTATATTGTGGGATAGAAACCTGATGTTCTTGTTGATAATAAAGCTGATTTCACTTACTTACAACGGCGCTGAGTCAATACTTGACAGGAACCAAAGCCCTATACACTCCTTGGGCCTGAAATGCCACTTCCGCATGGGTGATCTGCTGCAAGGTCAGTGCTGTTGAGAAGCAAGCTTTTCCCCCCTGCTTCCCCACAGCATATTGGTACATTCACGCATCTCTGAGGAGTTCCCTGGCATTTCTCTGCGCTTTCTCAAATCTGCTTTGCTCCGAAATTTTAGAAAATACCGCAACTAAAGCCTGGATATGTGGCGGGGAAATTCAGGTCTTCCCACCCTCACGGAAGCCAGTTTCCCTGCCCGTGCCCCATAGCAGCCATTTCCTCTCCCCACCACTGAGGGGCTTTTAATAGAATATCATTATACTGCTCTACCATTGTCGGCTCCCCAAATTTTCAGCTTTGATAAAAAGAGCAAGTATCTAGCCATTAGCCCTCTCCTTCAACTCTCTAAGGCTGCGACCAATAGAGGTAGTGAGTTCTTGCTAGCGGACAAAACCCCCGAAGTTACTGAGCAGGTGGCAGAGTTCCTGACAAATGTACTTAGGGGCCAAGAAAAAGGGAGAAGAAAAAAGGAAAGAGGAAAGGAGGTGGAGAGAGAGACAAGGTTTATCTATGATTCCTCTTTGGATAGTTAAGCTTCTCACTGTAACTGTTTTAATTACTGTGATACTTGAGATTACTGTTCCAAACTTTGATCACTTTGCCCTATTATTATTACTATATACAATGTTACAAGAAGAAGAAGAAAAGAGATTGAATTTATACCCCATGGCCCTTCACTACCCAACGGTGTCTCAGAGCAGCTTACAAACTCCTTTCCCTTCCCCTCCCCACAACAGACACCCTGTGGGGCAGGTGGGGCTGAGAGAGCTCTTGACAGAAACGGCTCTTTTTCCAGAACAGCTCTGACAGGACTACGGCTTGGCCAAGGTCATCCAGCCAGGTGCAAGTGGAGGAGTGGGGAATCAAATCCGGTTCTCCCAGATTAGAGTCCGAGCACTTAACCACGACACCAAACTGTACACTGTAACTCTGATTGTTTCTCTTTGTTGGCATAAGGGCTGATATATTTTATTTTTAAAGTGATTGTTATGCCAATAAAGGTTATTGGAATTGGCACTATCTAGCCTATTCCCTTGCAGATTTCACAGCAGAAGTGCTAGAGACTTACTCTGTTTTTAAAAAGAAATCCTGGAATTCACAGAACCTGTTAAATTTATTGCTACAATAGTATATCACTATAATAATATCCTATCCAGTGCTGCCGTATTTTTTTTTTAAATTGCAAAAATCCTGGTGGCCCGGGGTGGTGGTGGTGGCCACTTCTGGGGGACTGGGGGAGGGAAACTGCCAGGAAGCCTGCCACGGGAATCCCTTTATCGACAGCCTTCCCAGCAACAGGGAGACTACAAAACCCCATCCCCGTGTGGAAACCGCCAGTGATGCCTTCATCGTCTCTGCCGACTCGGCTACTCGTGTACACAAAGAATCACCTAACCAATGGCAAAGGGACACTTTCTCAACCGCCTTCCACATCTTTAACCTGACATTTCCCTCAAGGCACTCAGGGCAGCACTTACGATTCTCACCTTTCCTATTTTAACCCCATAAATAACCTTGCGAGGGAGATTAGACTGAGGGTGACTCGAGCCCCTGTAAGGTTTACGGCACGAGCGTATTTGGAATGCAGCTCTCCCCTCCCCTGGCATGTCCTGGTGTTGCTCCACTGATGTCACCAACAGATGTGATTTCAGAAGGAGGGTAACAATGTCAGGAAATCAAAATCTTTAAAGGCCCCAATCTTTGTAACAGTGTCCATTGCAACAGAAATGTTCCATTTAAGTGACATTTCTGCTAAGACAATCCAGCAAGCGCAACGATTTGTGAACAAGTCCATATCCATTAATGACCACTAAACTGCTGCAATTTTGTCTGCTCACGGAGATCTGCTGATTAATGAGAAATCACTTTAGATGAAGGCATACTGTCAGAAACCACTATCTTGTCTCCTTGGCAATCATGATCATTAGAAAATCATCAAGGTAACATCTCAGGGCTAATTTGTTGTTCAGTCGCACAGTCGAGTCCGACTCTTCGCGACCCCATGGACCAGATCATGCCAGGCCTTCCGGTCTTCCGCCGTCCTCTGAAGTTGGCTCAGTTTCATGTTCGTTGCATCGATGACACTGTCTGACCATCTCATCCTTTGCCGTCCCCGTCTTCTTTGACCTTCAGTCTTTCCCAGCATCAGGGTCTTCTCCAGTGAGTGCTCCCTTCTCATTGGGTGGCCAAAGTATTTGAGCTTCAGTTTCATTATCTGGCCTTCCAGGGAACAGTCAGGGTTGATTTCTTTTAGGATTGACTGGGAAGCTGCCAAGGGTCTCATCAGCACCAGGGGGAATGCAGATTTATTATTTATTAAATTGGATTTACTAGGCCGCCCTTCCCTGCAAGCAGGGCTCTGGGCGGCTTACGACAGTGTTATCTGTTCACATACAACTACATTTAAAAACAGTCCAATAAATAACAATAAATAAAAACAATGGCTGAGTTCAGACTGGCAGTTTGAAGCGGGAGTCGTGGCAAAAAACATACAACTACATTTAAAAACAGTCCAATAAATAACAATAAATAAAAACAATGGCGGAGTTCAGACTGGCAGTTTGAAGTGGGAGTCGTGGCAAAAAAGAGCCGGAACAAACTGTTCGGGGTTTTTCCGTTCACAGTGCAGCAACTGATGCGGGAGCATACCGGGAGGAGGTGCAAGGGAGCGTTCACACTGCTGGCATGGAGGCACAGCTGTAAGGTGCGGATTTCTTTTTTTGTAATCTGGAGATATGCGCATGAGCGCATAAGCACATATGTACATAAGAAAAATGCGGCTTTTGGTGTTCACACTTTGTTGGTGCGGGAGGACGAGGGATAATCGCGCTTTCCAGGGTTTGCTACCACTTTCACCAGATATCTTTTAAACTCGGGAGGGAAGCGTTATGAGATGGGTTGAGTACAGCTGGGGAACACCGGACAGATGTGCCTGTGTGAACAGCCCTGTTAATCCGGTTGTGGAACGTTTCTGAAACGCACCTATATCGGGGCAAACTGCCAGTCTGAACTCAGACAATGTATATACAGTACTTCAGGCGGTGGAAAATCCTAACACCACAGTCTCCCTGAGGGGAGGGGCTATAGGCAATGAGGAACCACGTGCGAGTGCTAGAAGAAGATGCCTTTCCGAACCCCCAGTCATGTCCATTCTTTAGTGCTCTGCTCTACCCAAGCCATGCTGCAACAGAACCAAGTTAACAGTCTTCCCAGGATCTGTTGTGTCAACATGGAGATGTGTGGGTGGAGAGACCACTCAGTGACTCTTTAACATCACTGATGTCATTATCCATCTCTTTTGTGACCTATTAAACTCATTGTCAGGAACAAAGCTGATAGTAATAGGAAGGACATTTTACCTTGTTCATGTCCTGCAGATACAGCCACGCATTGAAAGGCCGGATAGAGAGATCCAAGTCTGACAACTTTAGCTCAGCTACGCCAGTGCTGATGTTTCTCTCATCCTCATCAATGCCAAAGACAGAAAATCTCAAGCGGTTTTCCTCCAGGGCAGCAGGATCCAAAGGGATTGAAAACCTCTCATCGAAGAAGACCGAGTAGGCGCTTCTTTGGATCTACACAGAGAGGGAAAGGTAGGATAGGAAAAGCTCAACATTGCAAGTGAGACATCTGTTGATGGATCCTAGGAAAATCTGAAAAACATTCATACCAAAAAGGCAGCAACTTGGTAGATTGGAAAGTCTAGACAAGAGTTAATCCGGTTAAAAGGATCTCACATACCAGGTGCTGGGAAAGACCCCCCTCTGATCGAGGCTTTGGAGAACTGAGGTCCAGTGAGACCAGAAAGTTCTAAGCTAAATGGTAAGGTAAAGGTTTTCCTTGCTCGAAAGCTAGTCAAGTCTGACTCTAGGGTTGCGGTGCTCATCTCCGTTTCAAAGCCGAAGAGCCAGCGCTGTCCGAAGACTGTTTCCGTGGTCATGTGGCCAGCATGACTAAACACCAAGGCGCACGGAACGCTGTTACCTTCCCACCGAAGTGGTACCTATTTATCTACTTGCAATTTCTTGCTTTCGAACTGCTAGGTTGGCAGGAGCTGGAACTAGAGACGGGAGCTCACTCCATCATGCGGCATGCTCGGGTCTCGAACTGCTGAACTACCGACCTTCCACAGCCTGCAGCTCAGCGTCTTAACCACTTGAGCCAGACCAGCAAACCATCACTTTGGATTCCTTCTCTTCACCTCTCTTCCCTTCATTTAACAGGATAATCCCCCGAATGGGATATTAACCAAAGGCTGAAATCCTCAGCAGCCATATGCACAAACAAGGGGGAAGTGGGTTTCTAACTTTCCCCCTAGCATCTCTGTAACTTTACCCAGCATAGGATATGTTTAATGCAACAAGAGACGTAAATATGAAAATGAGCCAACTAGCCCTTGGGGGAAATCCCATCCAGTCCTCTCAGTTCCCTCTGGCCATGATTGAGATCTCCTGCAGCCAAGAGTGCTGGGAAATCTGTCCACAAACACTCTGCTTGCCTGCTGAGTTCTTCAGCTAATGAGGAGGTGCTATCCTCACAGCAGTCTTTGGGAAATCCCTGGAATACAAGGAGATTAAACAGGGACAGACGGAAATCACAATGTTAATTTCACAGCAAATGCTAAACTTGCAGTTGTGCTGATGTTGTGAAGCTCAGCTCAAGGAGGACACTCCAGGGACTGGTTGAACAGGAGTGGAGGGCACAGAATGCTGAGCCAGCCCTCTTGCAAAGGGGCAGAGCAGAAGCAGGTGACCCGCACTCGGGCCTGGTGCCAGCTGCTGCTATACGTGCAAGATTGTGTGGCCGCCACAGGGAGGCCAGCAACATCCATTCTTGAAAAATCTCTGCTCCTAGAAACACTACCGCACTGAACCGGCTCATGTGAGGGCTCACTGGTTCAGGTTTCAGCAAATGGAAAAGGACGCGGCAGTCAGGAATTCATGCATTCAACAAAGCTGTGATTGCACCATGCAAGAAGTGGATCAAATCTGGTACCTGCCTCAGAATTAATAAACCAGATAAACCGTCTTGTTTCTAGTCCTTATGGGTTAGCTTTGGCAGTGCTCAGTGTAGTCTCGAAAGCCAGAGGCACATTTTTCTCCACGTCCAGTAGAAGCAGAATAAATATGACAAATGAAAGCAACGATATGCAAATATTCTTAATTTTTAAAAGTTTACAGAGTTTGGTTTTTTTCTTTTCTCTTCTCCACTTTTGGGGAAAAAATTGCATTAACAACTCTCTCCCAGAAGATGAGCTTTAAAAAAGCAGCAGCAAGCAGCAGTTTTGTGCCCAGGTCAATTGATGCCATCTAAGGGTCTGAACCTTCTGCATTTCTGTCTGTCAGGGTTTCCTATACCCTCTTTATTTAAGTCTTAACTGGTTACAAGTCCTCTGAGTTCTGAGGCCACATGTCCCCTTTGACCACTTCCAAGACATGCCCTTTCTACCTGCTGCCAGAAGCACCACTGCTGAATTCACCAGAGACACCCCCTGTGCAAAATCTATAACCTTTTCTCCTGTGGTTTCCCTAGGAATAATGCTCTTGGTGCACTTCGCTGATTACAGCGTCTTCCTTGTGCTTACCCACCATAGCATTTGCACTGACCAATTGTCAGCTCATGCAGTAACTCTCAGACGCAATAAGTCCTTTTCCAGGCTTTATTTGGAAAGTCAGGAAAGTTGCATTCAAAGTTGAACTCTTTGACAGAACTGAAAATTATTACAAGGTAGGGAACTACAAGACCTTTGGTCCAGCCCTCATTCACATGTCATGATTACACAGCATTTAGGAAGCTTAATATAGTACAATTAACATGGTGAGAATGTTTATCAGTTGACTCTCTCTCGAAGGCCATGAGAAGAAGAAACAGCGAAGATTCCCTCTGGCCTTTATGGAGGAGGTTCCCTTTCACAGTGTTACAATAGCGCAGCTAATCTAAGATTCACACAGACATGTCTCAATCACTCCTCCCTCAGGAATGTCAGAGGAGGATCCTTGTGAACAGATTGATACATTGTCGGCAGGTGCTACAAGCAGGGAGGAAATAGCCAGTGCAATGATAATAGAATTCAGCAAAGTAAAGTTATGTACATCAGAGAGCCAAAATTACAAGTAGAATGACCCAATGACCCAGGCAAGGGGCCGATTCTGACACCAATTCATGATTTAGCTACTTAAGTAATAATAGCTTCCAAAATCAGTAAATTTATGCCAGTCCCTGAAGCATACTTGGTGACCATCTACAGGCCGTCATGCACTACAGGAGGCCATTACAGCGGTCACAATCTAGACCAGGGGTGTTGAACTCATTTGTTACGAGGGCCGGATCTGACATAAATGAGATCTTGTTGGGCCGGGCCATGTGTGTGATAAAATGTAATGCCAGGTAGCAGAGATATAAACTTTATAAAGGACACAAAGGGTTGGGCTTTTTTACTTAGCGCTCTTACAATATTTGGTTTATTTAACAGTGTCTCCGATAATTGACACCTCTTGCTCTGAATTATTGCATCAAAATGTCTGTGCTGTTGCAATTTTATGCTGTTCAAGTGTGTATCTGTAAGGGGCAAAACTATGTTTGATTTATTGACATTCAGTATAGAAATCTCATGCTCAGAGTTCTGAACCTAGAGACCAGGGGAAAACATGAAATGGCTGTGCATTGCAAGCTTTTGTACATAAATTGCTTTATGTGCTGGTCAAGAACATGAGAAGGAACCATGACACAGATTGAGGGCTATGTGCTTGTCTACAAAACTATAGTCTTCCTCAGTGGTCAGTATCAGCCTACTATTTGGGAAGTCTAAGTTCAAAATCCCCAAAGGAAATGTGCTGGGTGAACTTGGTCTGGGCACACACTCTCAGCCTAATCCACCTCCCTGGCTTGTTGTTATTCCTCATCTAAATAATTCACATTGCTTTCCTACTGAGCAAGATTGGATCGTGAGGAGCTCTAGAGGAACCGTGGGAGTGAGCTAGGTTCCCAGCTTCAGCGCTAAACGGCTGGAGCGCCTTATCCCACGTGCGGGAGTGTGGCTAATTGGCCAGGGCAGTGGGGGGTGCATACAAATACCCTATATCCTATTATGCCCCATGGGCAGCCGCCATTCTTAACAGTGCCTATGTTAATGCATCTATAGCTCTTCAATAAAGAAGAGGTGATAAACGTGTACTACGTTGTTGGCTGTGGGTTCTGACATTGTGCTGGGTGAACTTGGTCTGGACACACACTCTCAGCCTAATCCACCTCACTGGCTTGTTGTTATTCCTCATCTAAATAATTCACATTGCTTTCCTACTGAGCAAGATTGGATCATGAGGGCATGAATACAGTGAAAAGGGGGAGGGAACCCAGTTTCACCCAGGAGAGCCACAGCACTCCGGACTGCTGTACCTTAAGTCTCTGAAGGCTGGTGGGAACTGATTAAAAGCATTCCCTTACCCCACCCACTACCATCACAATATGCAAGGATACAGTGACCTTGGTTCCCCCCCCCCCCCGACCTTCTCATCATGGATCTGAAAAGGTGCTGTGTAGTAGAGGGTACAGGATGGGGGCAATTCTCTGTTCCCAGACACTGTGGCAATTTAAGCTGCCCCCTATGTCCATCACAGCCAGCCCCCCCCCCGGGGTGAAGGGAGAATGGGGAAAAAAACAAAAAAGGGAGGAGGGGAGACAAGTAACACCTTCTGTTCCTATTTGAAGTCTGCCATTTGGGTGTCAGGGAGGACCAGTTTGGTGTAGTGGTTAAGAGCACTGATTCCCCATTCCCCCCCCCCACATGCAGCTGCTGGTGTGACCTTGGGTCAGTCACAAGCTCTTTCAGAGACGTTCTCTCAAGAGCTCTCTCAGCCCCACCTACCTCACAGGGTGCCTGTTGTGGGGAGGGGAAGGGAAAGGAGATTGTAAGCCACTCAGACTCCAATGAAGGGTGGGGTATAAATCCATTCTTTTCTTCTTCTACCATGAAACAGCTGGGGAGAGTTTTCGATGGGGCGGTGTCTATTTACATGTCATTGGTTGCCACTCAAATGCCCACCTTCCACAGAAGTGAAGAAATGCTAAAAAGCTTGCATTAGGATTGGGACCCCTTGGAAAGACCTCATCACATAGTAAGCCTTACGATCAGTTCACATACTCAAACAACGTGTGTTTACACAACTGAGCACTTGGATACACCCAAGTGCGCAAAGGCACGTTACTCTAAAGCTGTTACTTATATGAGGGCAGCCATTTTTACGATCCCAGCAGCTTGTCTACCTGTGGAAACAGCTGTAGCCCTTCCCTTGCAAGTGGCTGGTTCGTCCTCAGGCTTCTCAGCAGAGTATGATACTTCCATGCATGGCTGCCCAGAGAAAATACAGAACCCCTTTTATGTAAACCAGTCCTACAGGAGGTGGAGGCTGCCTGGGAGACAGCCCCCCTAGAAGTCAGCCCACTCGGGAATTGATTGTGGACCCTTGGAGCGGTGATTGTCTTTCAGGGCTGCATCCTACATTACTCTTTAGATAGCACAAATGTCAAGCCAGGGGTCATTTCCTGCAGGAGCGCACAGGAGCGGAGCTCCGGCAGT